CTCAAGTCTGGCTATTTGAACCTACCCAGTAGCACTCTGTAAAAGAGGCTTGGTGATCACAGCCAAGAAAACCGTATGGCTCAGTTCTTCATCGTCACGCATGGGGTTGCCATGAGTTGGAATCAGCTCAATGCAACAGGTTGTTTGTTGGTTGGTTTTTTGTGTTTACATTGAAAACTTGCACTCGTAAAGGATGTCTCACTGACTGCCTTGCATCGGTATGTATGTAAACATTTCTTACGCCCCTCACTAGAGCCTAAACACCTCCTGGGGGGAAAGTCTGTCCAATAAGATCCTAAAAATATTGAAGACATGAGTCCCGTATGAATATAGAGCAAACACATGTCAAAGATGTATTTAACTGATTAATGAAGGAACTAGAAAAAGATGCTAGTACTTAGTTCAGAGCATTTGAGGAGGCAATTATTTGTAAAGCTGGTCAGGAGAATTATGCTGAAGTAAATTTGTAAATTAGAATCAAAGTTGATTAATGTTCTATAGGTCAAGAAAAGAATAAACTTCGAGTTACTCTTTCTACTAGCCATCATACATTTTGTAAATCTATGAGTTAATATATTTTTTTTAATATAGGATTTAGTCAACTATCAATAGTCGGCCCAACAAAGGAACATTGTCCTAGGGAATTAAATCATTCTTACTCAAGTCTGTTATATTAGGCTCCAGCATGAAATGAAATGACCAGCGGTCATGCTTTTGCTATATTTCCAAGTTTAGGATATTTCGTTCTAATAAATTATGTGCATTTGAAATGTATCATGCCAGTCTGGCAACTTGCACACAGTAGACGTATAGTAAGTGCTTGGTGTATGGATCCATGAATGAAACAAATGCTCCAACATTTCTGGAGCAGGCCTGACCAAGTCAGTGGCCCGTAATTACATTGGCTCCCAGTTTTCCAAGCAAGGATCAAATAATTTCCTGGGAGGAGAACAGAACAGCACTCTAAATAAGAACAATCTGTAAAGGCAGGTGGAAAAGGGAACCAGTCTTGGTGGTGCACAGCTCTCTCTTCACCTCAGGCCATATTTGGTCTGGGATAGGTCCATAACCATTCTACAGTGTCAGTAGGGGTTGCCTAGTAAATGCGCGTTACTAGTTTCTGGCAGCTCACAGAGCCCTACAGGTGCGTCATGAAAGTGCCAGGGAGAACTGTTAAGTCTCGGCTCTAAATCCACTCAATCACCGACAGTGCGGCTGTTGAGCAAGAATCAGACATAACTGAGGACGAATTAGGCAGGAGGGCTAGAATTTTTCAACATTTTACCCACCTTTGTGTTAGCAAGTTGAAGGTTAGGAGAGACGTGCAGGTGTTCTAGTCATTGAAGACAGTATTTATATATTTTTTGGTATTTAGGAGCATAAGATATTTATTCCTTTGTCCCACTCCCAATGTGATGTTTTCAGCACTTAGGGTGAGTTGTTGTTTTGTTTGGGGTTTCGATTGATTTTAGTTTGGGGAAACCATTTCCTTACAAGTGTCTCTTGAGGATTATCCTGCTTCTAGGCTGTCAGAACTGGATGGACTGAGAGGTTTTCTGCAATCCCTTTCTTATCTCCTCACACCCGTTTTATAGAAAATATAACTGAAGTCCAGTACCAATTAGCTTTTTCTGTTTACCAGACCCCCCTGAATAAATTAGCTTAGTGCCACAAACAGTTATACTTCTTGTGATTCTATGAGTCAGTTGGGTAATTCTTCCAGTCTTGTTTGACTCAGCTGGGATAGGGTAAAAATCTAGGAGTCTCATTCATGTCATTGACCATTGGCAGATGATTAGTTTAGAATAGATAGTCTCAGCCCCACATATCTCTGATCATCCAATTGGTGAGCTTATACTTCTTTACTTGGTGATCTCCGGTTGCCAAAGAGCAACAAGAGCAGGTAAGTCTAGTGCACAAGTAGTTTTCAGTGGCGTAGGGGTTACCTTATGAGCTGGGCTGCGATCTGCATGGACGGCAGTACAAACCACCAGTAGCTCCAAGGGAGAAAGTCTGGGCTTTCTACTCCTATAAACAGTTACAGTCTAGGAAACCCACAGGGGGTTGCTGTGAGTCAGCACTGGCTCGATGGTAGTGGTAGTCTCTACTTACTATTGTCCCATTGGCCAAAATAGGTAACATGGCCGAGCTCAAAGTCAGTGTGAGGGACAATTACCTATGGTAAAGGTGGCTAGGTATCAGAGGGAAGAATTTGTGGCTATTACTGCAAATGAATTGATCACAGCTGCCAAGGTGCAGTAACTTGCCTAAGTTTACAAAGCTAGGTAGAGGGATTGCTGGGACCTAGGTCCAGGTCTCATTGCTCCTGGTGCAAGCTCCTTTCATAATATCATGAGCTCTTCTCCAGGATTCCGAGTTGAAAGTCCCAAACCCACTGCTGGCCAATCGATTCTGGCTCATAGCAAATTTACAGGACACAGTAAAACTACCCCTTAGAGTTTCCAAGGCTGTCTATCATTACAGAAGCAGTGCCACACCTTTGTCCCACAATGAGGCTGGCTTTGACCACTTTGCCACCAGGGCTCCTCAATCTAAGGTCCAGTACCCTTAAAACTTATTTCAGAAGTACAGAGAGATTTTTGGTATATTTCATTTAGGGGGTCTTGATGTTGATATTTAAAAGGAATCCATCTCCTAATCAAAATAACAAGCTGTTGAAGTTTCTCCAGGCCTGCCCCACCCAAGCTTCTGCCATCCTGTACACTGGGTTGTCTTCCAGAATTCTGCCTCTCAATGCCATAACAGCAGCCTTGGCCTAGCCCTCAGGCCACAGGGCCCCCTATTCCATATGAGGAGAATGCAGACCCCTACAGGAGCCATTGCCTCCTTGTCCTGCTCCGCATCCTCCCACTTAGATAGCTTGGCCTCTTAGGTACACTACTTTTTTTTTTCCTCACCAATCCCTTGTTTATTCAACATTTGCTCAAAGTTTAACTTAGAAGAGAAACAGCTGTGCTATGCGTGGGGGAAGAGTGGAGACAGAAGCCCCTGGTGGCCAACTTCGACCTATTTTCTATATAACCAGCTATGGTGGATTCATCTGACTCAAGGAGACTCCATATGTGTCAGAGAATTTTGGGTTTTCAGTGGCTGATTTTTTTGAAAGTAGATCATCAGGCTTTTCATCCGTTTGAGGGACTCTAATGTTGAACTTTTCTGATAGCCGCTGAGCAGTCACCTGTGCTGCACCATGTCATCTTTGTTATTGTCAGTTGCTTTGTAATCAATAGCCCTAAGCAATTTAGCTCTGGCTTTGAAGACCCCTCTCAGTAGACAAAGATGTCCTTTCTAGGCAAGGGCAACCTTCCTCTTGAGAAGGGTTCTGGTAAATACAATCTTTCCAATCTCCTTACATTTTCAAAGACATTTGGGGGGATGGATAAAGATTTCTTAAGCCAAAGAGAATTCCCACTTCTACTCTATTTCTGCTCTTCTTATTCTCCTACTTGTCTGTCCGTTTATTGTACTGTGATGGCTATGTGTTGGTGTGATGCAACAAGCTATGTTTCAGAAGAGCTTACAGACCATAGACCATGAAGAAGAAATAGGCTCTCTACTTCTGAGGAATTAGCCATCAAGAACTTTGTGAATAGAATCGAAACATTGTCATATAGAGAAAACCTCATGCATAGAAGTAGAACATGGTCAGGGGTCGTGCCCGGCAATACATGGGCTGACACAATGGTGTCCAGCATAAGAGCAATTGTAAGGACGGTGCAGGACCAGCCCGTGCTTGGTTCTGTGCAAAGAGTCGCTGTGGGTCGGAACCAACTAGAGAACACCTAACAACAACAAGCTCTACTTCTTACATATTTTAGATTTGAAGGAAGAACGCGTTTCATTTCTGCTCCATCTTTTGCCTAACAGGACATAAAGGAAATGGGTCCTGGAAAGTTTACTGCGCAGTTTTCTTTGCCAGCAATGGAGAAAGAGCAACTTGAAAAATCACCAGTAATCCGCACATTTTCTAGATCAAAGTAGCGTACAGAAGTGTTCAAAATGAACCAGTAGGGTGTTGACTTCCATATTTTCAGCCTGTGCCAGCAGCCTTCAATTAAGAAAGACTTCCAGGGTAGACAGCCCACATGAGCCCCAATGATCCATTCTCTGCCTAATTGTCACAAGCTGACTATTCTTCATTTCTTCTGAAACGTCTCCTGAGATCATAGGGGAAGTCACTCCCAAGGCCTAAAATAAACATCCTGATGATATATCCATCAGAACAGAGATTCCAGCGCTATTAGTCAGCCTTTGAAGATGCTCTGTTCTCAGCCAGGATTGCAATGTTCCTGCATTCTTGAAGCATGATGTGCCTGTATCACTAGCTCCCAGGGTTACTTACCCAGTCCCCGAAGCAAAGATTGAACCACAGTTCTGTCCATTGCCCCTCTTCTTGGGATAGTTCGTGCTTGGTATAAAATGAACCTTAAAAAACAAAGCAAACCAAATCCCGTTGCTGTCTGTCCGATTCATGGAGACTGTGTGTTGCGGTGTGAAACCACTCCATGGGGTTTTCCTGGCTCTAGTCTTTACAGAAGCAGAGCTGGCCTGCCTTGCACAGCCCGCTGGGTGGTTTCAAACTGTCAACCTTTCAGTGAGTGGTGATGATGTGAGTTATCGTTGTTGTTGAGTTGATTCAGACTCTGGATGATCCCACCACGTGTGCAGAGTAGTAGAACCCCTCCATGAGATTTTCAGGGCTGTGGTTTTTCAGAAGAAATTTCCAGGCATGTCTTCGGAGGCATCTGTGTGACTACAAATCACAGACTTTTCAGCGAATAAGAGGATGATTAACCGTTTGTGCCACCCTGAGTATGAACCTTTCATGCTGCCGAAGGTCCGTTAGCTATAAAATAGGATCATAGATATCTGCTGCGTGCCTGCTATCTGAGGGAGAGCAATCACCGTCACATGTACGTGCAGTCAGAGCAGAAAGTGGTGTGGTTGCTCCTTGACAAATCCTGATTTCTCCTTTCCAGTGCTACACAGAAGCAGCCTCCACCACCCGCTTCTGCCACTCTTCTGACGATGGGGTAAGCCCCAATGCACCCCACTGGGAACAAATGTGCAGACTTCACGGTCTGAAACGCATATTGTTCCTTCTGCTGGGTGCTTTTCGTAGGAGCACTTGCTTCTCAGTCATGTGTAAAGATAATCAGTGTGTCCTTTTATTGAAAATGGGGAAACTTTTGCTCTTCCCTTTGAAAGACCACCAGTGGCATTCTTTAACTTATTTTTAGATGTGTGGTTGTGTCCCAGACAAAATTGAGGCCTGCCACAGACACAACCCCAAGTGTGTTTCTCGTGGGCAATGAGAAGAAGAAAAGGAGTTTTAATGTGGAAGGAGCACAGGCAGATGCCTGTGTGCAGTGTAGCTTTCTTTCATCTAAAAAAAGGAAACAAGCAGTGTCGATAATAATATGCAGATGTCCGGCCCCAAATGAAGACATATTGCTAATTAGCTATATTGTTAGTATGTTTTCAGGAGAAAGGCTGCAGTGACATTAATTAGAATCTTTATTTGTTCAAAGTCTATGAGTCCAAAGCATTGCTAATAATATCTTCTTTAATATCTTCAGTAGAAGATTTCTGGATTTTTTTTCTTTAAAATCCCACACAAAGGCCACAGTAGGGGTAATGAGACCTGTAGCCTGAGCCTAATTAAGAAAAAAATCTAACTAGACACATAGCCATCATTATCATTAACTAGTACTTATTGAGAACCCCCTGAGCTTGTGGAATTGGGAGCTATGGGATTTGGAGATACAACTTGTTCTCTGCTCTCCAAAAATTGGCCATCCTATCTGCCTCCAAGAAATTGGTCTTATGATGTTAATCTGGGAATCGTTATGGGGGTTAATTTTTTTTTTTTTAAGTACTAAAGTTCTCCTATTGAGTCATACAATTTACTCATTTGGGCTTCCCCTAGAGCAGTGGTTCTCAACCTGTGGGTCGCGACCCCTTTGGGGTTGCACAACCCTTTCACAGGGGTCACCTGATTCATAACAGTAGCAAAATTACAGTTATGAAGTAGCAATGAAAATATTTTATGTTTGGGGGGGGTCACCACAACATGAGGACCTGTAGTAAAGGGTCATGGCATTAGGAAGGCTGAGAACTACTGCTCTAGAGGTTCTGGAAGTACTCAAATCAACCTTTGGTTGGTATTGGCAGAACAAGTCGGGTGACTATGTTCAGTTGAAGACACTGATGTCTAGCACATTTCCCCCCAAAAGTATATCTGATTACCCCTTCTCACACCTAGATTCTCCGAGTCCCATGATCACCCAAGTTTTCTCTGTAGTGTGATTCTCATTCTCTTCTTTTGTGCTACATTTCCTGTGACAATCGGCCATCTGGGGACCGCTGGCCATTGTGACCTCTATATTCCTGTTGTGACTATGGCGATCCACCTTTGTCACCATCTCAAGCCAAGCAGTGATTGGAGGTATTGGTTGGGTAGTCTTAGTCTTGGGCTAGTGATGTACGTGGGGGGAAAGGACATCAGTAATGAGCATTGGGATCACATCTCAAGTTATATCCAGCCTACAGATTTGCTCTTGTAAATTCATCTCGCCAGAGCTTTTCCAGGGCTGAGGCATTCATGGCCAACTGATGTGAGAGAAGCAGAAAGATGCAATGATCTAGTGGGAAAGTATGTTAGAACCGCGCTAGAGCACCCTCAAGCCAAAGGTTAGGTGTCAAGGCAAGACCTTTGGGTGGTAGGCCTGACGTTGATGTTGTGTAACTCGGTTAGCACTGAAAAACAAAACAAAAAAATAGCAGAGCGTCTCAATTGTTGCATCCATTCCAGCTCTGCCCTGAAATTCTTGGAATCAATACACCAGCCTTGCCCTTAGAGACGTTGGGGAATCTATATCAGCCATTTTTTCCAGGATTATAATTTTACCTGGCCAACCTCCTCACTTTGCCCTGTTCTCTTCGCCTGCTTCACTGTACTTGTCTTTTAGATGTTAGCTCTAACATTACATCCTCAGACAAACTTTTCCTTCGCCTTAATGCTAGTTTTTGAAATAAGGTCTTATAATAACTACCTCAAATAAGACAATAAAGACTCTTCTGACCTCTTTTTTTTGAGCATCACCATGGGTGAATGAATTTTCACACCTCTGTCACGTGGAATTATATTCAAGCAAGAAACAGGAAATCCAAAGTAGAGAACCTTAGACAAATAGGGCTTTTATTTTTCTCCAGTAAAAGAAGTTCGGCAGTCAGATTTTCAGATCGGGCACAATGGCCTGGCACTGCTATCAGAAACTCAGAAACCCTCTGCTTTCCATTTAGCCATGCTTAGAATGTGCTTTGCTGCTCCCGATAGCCAGCTAGCTCGCTTCACTTGAAGCACTCCTTCTGCATTCCAGGTCATAGAAAGTAGGAGAGAACCAAAAGGCAAAAGTGAATCTGCCTCCGGGTCAGTAGTCCCACCATCATCTCCTATTTATAGGCCATTGGTCAGAACTATGTCACATGGCCACCCCTGGTTGCAATAGATACTGGGAAGTGTAGTTTTATTTGGGTCCAGTGCCAGCTGTTAAAAAATGCTAAGTAATTAAAAGGGGAATGGATATCAAGTAGGCATTTGTGATGTCTGCCACAGTATTGCCATCTAAGACAACGTACAGGTTGCATGACCCTGGAATTTGTGTTCCTCTCCTTGCTTTAAATAAGTTTAAGTTGTAAAATAATGAAGGGTTGGGAGCTGTGCCCACAGATGGGAAGTATCAAGAGGCCCAGGCAGTAGTTCTGGCTGGTGGACATCCATCCACTCCAGCTATCACCAGCAACTACTAGCTTGCTCACTAAGCAGTCCCCTTATGTTTTACTACTAGAGATTCTGGGGAAGAGGGGAATCTCGAAATGAGTGTTAAAATCTTTTGTACTTTAATCAGAAAGGCATAAACATGTTTCTATGAAGGACAGGGAAGTCCCCAATTTAAGGAAAAAAATATCACCCTTCTTTCCATAGTGTTATAGAATTAATTTTGCTTGAAGTTAAGTGACAAGAGGGAGCCTTCTTCAGTAGATGTCTCTTTATCCAGAGGATGTCTTTGAGTTGCTCTTTGAGCTATGAATTAACACTGACAGTGCGGCAATGCCAATAGCAATATGCCCGCTTGTGACTCCAATTTTAGAGTGCTTGCTGAAACTAAAAAGAACTAAAGCAATTATACAGTTTATACATATATATGTACTAACTGCTAAAGCAGGTGATCTATGCTGATGGTAGCTGGAGTGGGTGGCCACCAGCCGGAACTGCTGACGGGGCTTCTGTAAGAAAATGTGCAATGTGCCTCATTAAGAAAGGAAGGATCAAGTGTGAAGGAGAGACTCTGTCGATACATTGTTAGCAGATCCTGCCCACTGTCTCTCACCCAAGATTATCAATCTAGATCACCCAAAGAATCTCTACTTTAGAATCTTGTTCCTAATTGAATAAAATAGAGTTTCCATTTATATGGACCCTTCTTGGAACCTCTTCTTAAGCTCTAGAACTTCTAGTTCTGAGTAATTTGGCCCTTTCCATAGCAGGGACCAAACGGTCCCTGTTAAATATGTCTTGGCAGAGGTGCAAGATCAACTCAAATATTCAGGGAATGTGATGAGCATATTCTTATTACTTCCCATCTTCCAGATGCTTTATAAATGCTGAGCCTGGGATAGAGAGAAGGAGGACATGAGGAATTACACAAGTGTGTGCATAACGCAAGCCAAAATATATGTTAGTCCCAGTTGTGGGACTATACCTAATAGGTACACTTTGTGGCTTGAATCGTCTGGCCTATTGCTCCAACTCTGCGTGCCCTATTACTTTTCTCATACGTTGATACAAGCTCTGTACCTTGTTGGTCCTGCTGGGAAGAACTGGCTGCCCTAATATATGCTCAGCTATATGGCAGACCACTGAGTCAGTGAGAGCTCTCACAGGTTGCTTGGTCAGTAGCTGAGCCAGGATCACTCTGTGGGTTAGTATTGCCTACCAGAAAATATTCAAGAGTCAGGTTAAGAAACCAATTGGAATTAGGCTTTTTTTAAAAAAAAAATCTAGGCAAAATGCCATGAAGCAAAAGTAAAATTTCTGTCTTGTCTCTTAAAAATCGAAATGTTAGTGGAGGAAAGAGAATTGGGTCTAGACTCCATTATCATCCAATAAGCAGTACTGCACATCCGTCTGAGTTGTCACAATGAAATTAGCTAACTGTCCTGGCTAACACTGTTGAGAAAGTTTTAGGGAGAAAAGTAAGATTACATTCAGTGATGTGCCCTTGGGGGTAATAGCGAGACCTTATGTTGGGGGAAAACTTAACTGCTCTCTTTTTCTCGTCTTTTCTTCTTCTTTTCCTTTCCTCCCATTTCCCTCCTCTTTTCTCTGTTTCTTTTATCTCTTGCACTTCCTCCTCTCTCCTTCCTCTTCCCCATTTCTTCCTTGTCCTTGCTCCCTCCTTCCACTCTCTCTCTCTCTCTTTCTCTCTCTCTTTGGGGTTCAATCTCAGAATAATTCATTCAGTCTCCAACACCAGGGCAGCTCTCTCTGCAGGGCTTTGCCAAGAGAGCCCTCAAGGCAGGGAAGAGACTGGAGAGGTGAGCAAAGACTGCCCTGGCCGCCTCTCCTGCACAGCAAGGAAGGGCAGGCAAAAGCATGATGCAGGGAAGCCAGCTTTTCCTTCTGTAAATACACTGCTGGAAGCAGAGGTAGACATGTTCCCGGTCTCGTTCCTCTTTTTGACCACTCTGTAGATTCACACAGCTACTCTCAGCATCAGTATTTTCAACTCAGTCATGTTCCTGTTTACACATCAAAGTGATATGTAAAAATCCATCCATCTTAGAGTCTTCCTGTTAGCTTTCTAAGAAGTTAGTTATTTATCTATTACGTGTGCTTCATCGTCCAGCTACTCTTGACCATGGGTTAGCAATGTTCGACATGTTTTAGTACCAAACACAGTCCTTTGGTTGGGTCAAATGCACTGCAGTGGGGGCTCAGGAGTGTGTGTGGAGTCACTGTGCTGGAATAGGCACTCCAAAGCCTCAAGATGTGCCCAAGAATAACAAGGTTATTTACCACTGACCCAGACATTTGGAGAAAGTCTAGCTCTACAGCTTTCTCCCTAGTAAATATGAAAATATTATCCCTGAAGGAATGGAAGAAGCCTTTGAATGAGAGAGCCAGGGAGAACTGACAAGAGGAAAAGGGGACTGGTTTGGAAAAAGAGTCCAACATTTTTTAGACTCGACCATCATTTGATTAATTTGACCCCCCAAGGACTATATAGTTGTTCAGGAAACGGACTTGCAGTTTTCTCTTAAAGTAAAAGCATTCCATTTCAGAGTGTCGTTTTGTCTGTTTTGAATGATCATGCGATCTCTTCTCACAATCTTTTTCACACCAGCCTCACTAGGGTTCCCTTTCCTCAAAGAATCCAAGCTCATGCTCACCTCGTGGCTTTCTTACTTCTCTTTCCCTCTGCTAATATGCTCTCCCCCAAATCATTGCAGGGTGCCTCCTCCTCTTGTTCCAGACTTGCTTCCCACGTCATTTTCCCAGGAAGGATTTCCCTGGCCATCTATCTACTATTGTGCCTAGCCACTCTGTGTTACCTCCTTTGTGTTTTTTCTTTTCTTCTGAGTCACTACTCTCTGATCTGGTCTTATTTATTTTTCCATGTATTTGCAAATCCACACACCCCCAATTAGATATTTAGATACACACTAAAAGAAAGCAGTATCATGTATGTCTATTTTTGTCTTTTTTTTACTGCGATATCTCCTGTGCCTAGCATGTGGTTGACATTTGTTGATCAGAAGAATGAGCTAAAAAGACGATCAGATGCATGAATGGATGTAGTTAGATTCCATTGAGTCACTTCCAACTCATAGCAACCTTGTGCTGTGTACGACAGAGCAAAATACTGTCCAGTCTGTCCCACTTATACCATTGTTAATTTAGAACTCATTATTGCTGCCTTAGATAGATTGAATCCATTATTTGAGCCAGTGTTTTCTCCAACACAGACTTTTAAGTCCATGCCCGCGTGGGTTAACCCTGGACACTTGGGCAGCAACGAAAGCCAGGGTGGTTTGTAGATTAAAGTGATGAGGAAGAAACCATAATTTCTAAATGAGCACCTATTCTCCTTCAAAACAGCACTTTGTTTTGCTGTGCTTTGATGCTTAATAAATGGTCCTTAACTCATTAACTCTCATAAAATTCCCAAAGAATGGGCTGGAAGAAATTTCCTAATGATTAGGCTTTTTGAAGATGGTGAAACTAAACCATGGGGAAGGAAAATGGATTGGGAATATTATCCTGGCTTAATTTCAGCCACTGGAATGTCCTTGTTCCTGACTAAAATAGACTGTTCTGGGTGACATGTCAAAAAATCATGTGTCTCCTATTTGTTTGTTTGTTTGTTTGTTTGTTTTAGAATAGCCTCAGTGTGGAAAGTGACTCTGCAGCAGAAACCAGCTTTCCTGTGTCCAAGGAAGAGCCTGGGGAGCTTCCAGATCATCAGGGCTCACACAGACCCTTGCCTAGGCATCGATTCCGGCAAGAAGCTGGGCATCCTTTGCAAAGAGATGGTCCCAGGTCCTTTCTCCTCGATCTACCAAACTTTCCAGATCTTTCCAAAGCTGATATCAATGGGCAGAATCCAAATATCCAGGTAATTCATGACAGCTGGACAGGGTCAGAAAATGAAGCAACCTTCTCTTTGTTTCATGACCTAATCCCAAACCAACTGTGCCTCGCCTCACTTTGGTTCTTCATGCATTAGTGAATCTTGCATATGATCACGATATTTCTGCTGTACTTCATCTCATAGAGCATCTTCGGTTGTGAGATGTCCATTATTTTATAAACAACACACACACGGTAACAGTCAATTTAAGTGTGATATACTGTTGAGTATAAGACACATTATGATATCATATACTGTGGACTATAAGACACATTATGATATCAGAAACATTATATTACATGCATATATGTGTAAAAACGTACATATACATATGTACACACACATATGGAGGCTTAAAAAAGATAGGGGGAAATGGAACGAAGGATAATGGAATTTTTCGACAAACTGTTTTGAGGCCTCCGTGTGTGTGTGTGTGTGTGTGTGTGTGTGTGTGTGTTTGCTGAAATTGATGAAATACAGTACTGTGTTAGTGAAAGGAAAGGACTCAGAAAATCAATGGTGCCCTGAAAAAGTCATCCTCTCTCTCAAATCCTCTCCAACCTTGTATGCTAGAAATTCTGCTAGCAGGTGAGAAAGCGTTGCTCTAAAGGGTAGGTGACTGACATCAAAAAGTTCTGATGAGAGGAAAGAAGGAGAGACCGAGAGTGCTAGGCATAGAGATGAATTCTTAAGGGAATGAGGCCTGAGGGAAATGGGTATCTTGATCTCAAATTAATGACCCTCATCTAATGAAATAGCACATTATACCTGAGAAGGCCCTGGGTGACACAAACAGTTAAGCACCCAACTGCTGGCTGAAAGGCTGGTGGCTCGCACGCATTGAGGCTACCTCGGAAAACAGGCCCAGCCATCTGCTTCCGAAAGGTGACAGTTTGGAAAACCCTCTGGGGCAGTTCTACTCGCACCCACGGGGTTTCCATGAGTCAGAGCAGACTCAGTAGCAACTAACAGTAACATCATCAAACAAAAGCTGAGCTGACCCTCATAAAGGAGATGGCGCACATGTCATTTGGGGACTATTACAAAGACTATGACAGGTACTTAGGAGATGTCAGTGTGATTCACCAAAGGCCAACGCTAGTGTACCACAGCTAGTACGCAGAGCTGTGGGGGTTTAAGTCTAGGCTCTCCCCACAAACGCTCACCCTACCAATCTGGGTTCCAAGGAGAAACGCTTACTTTTGAACGGTGCTTGTGCCTCCATTTCTCTCCCTGAAGATGACGGAAGGAGACTCAAGCTGACCCAGGTAACCTACCTCCTGCCCAGTTCCTCTCCTCATCTACCCGCTGACATCATGTTTAGTGGAGTCCTTGGGTGGTTCACATGGAATGAGAGTTCGAAGGTTCAAGACCATTCGTAGAGGCTTTAGAAGAAATGCCTGGCAATCTACTGAAAACCC